GCACATCTTATCTTAACACCTGAGGTTGTAGCAACAGCAGCGTAGACATTGGGTCGCACCCTTTTCAATCTAGCAGTAAATGATGGTCATGCCAAAAATCAAGACAGAAGCTGTGAGCCAAGCTGCTAGGTGCTTATGCTGACTGAGATAGTCCCTGGAAGTCAAAGAGGGGAGGCCCATGTATGTGGACAGAAGGGTGTCCCCGCTTGCTTAGGAAGAAAGTGCTCTCAAAGTTATTCTATGGAGAAGTGAGCTCTCCTCTGTGTGAAAACGCCATGCACTGCTCAGTGAGCAGAAGACGGTAGCTGGTGGAATGTTATTAGATGTATTTGAACATGTGAGAGTGAATTACTTAACTTCCCATTACTGGCAGACTCAAAGGTTAGGAAGGTCACCGGCTCATTCACCTGAACATTACTTAACTTGACCAAAAGCCCATGAGAATCATTCTGAAAGAACAAAGCTCTCATTACCATTTAATGTTTCTTCCTTAAAGCCCTATTTTAATTCTAGGAAGTCTGATCTCAGAAATGTCGTAATTAAGGTTTTCATAAGAAACATTTAATACTGTTTAAGTACATAATGGCTGCTAGTGTTCCATGTCATAAACCAACTAAAACGGGCTTTAATCTCTTCCGTAACTATGCTGCCTCACTTAACCCTAAGGTATGGTGCTGTCAGACCAACTTATTAGGCACACAAAAATAATTATCATGGCTTTATTATAATCTCACCTTATTAGTCAGAAATATTAACCTCGCTAATCATGTACCATAGTCGCTGGGCTCTAGTACTATTTTTAAATATGAAAAATGTTCTGAAAGATGCAGATTTGCTAAGTCAAAGGCTATCTTAAAAAAATTGGCTAGATCCAGTGAGTGCTCGGAGAGGGGTTTGGAAGCAGGAAACACTTTTGAAATAACTGTATACTCTCCCAGGTCACTCTGTAGGGACAACTGTTTGTGAGGCTTGTCATGTGACCTATAATCATGGGTAACAATTTTGATTGGAGGGAGCAGTTCCTTTGGGGTTGGGTGGGAGAATGACTTTGTAAACTGTTTCTGTGGCTTGTGTGAGCCTCACTCAAGAGCTCTCCCAGGGAGGGAAGCCTGTCCTTCCCAAGGGCCTTGGGGTTGGGTGTGAGCTCCTTTTCAGGTAAAGTAAGAAATGCAAGTCCTAGGCATGGGGCCTAACCTTATGCCAGCATTTGCCTGACTAGTGTCTTCCTCACACCACCCTTGGCTGTTGCTATGTCCAGATCACGGGGACCCCCAAAAGACCACCACAGAGACCAAATCCCATATGTAAAAGCAAAGAGCCTTTATTTCAAACTCCAGCTTGGTCTCTCTGTCCAACACAGCAGTGAGAGCAGAGAGTCCTGAGCCCAGGCAATGTGGGGTTATCATAGCAGAGGTAGGGGTAAGGGGACTTTCAGGGTTTGAGACCCTGATTTGTCTAGGGGTATCTGTAAAAGGGGACTAGGTATGTGCTAGGCTCAGGGACATCTGCAATCTTATTTAATCTTATCCGATGGTTGGAATGTTTGGGATGTCAGGTTCATTCCCTTAGATGCTGGCCCATCCCTGGGTGGATCCCCGGGTGGTGTCAGCTTATGGCTTTCCCCAGGTCAGGGTGTTGCCTGCCAGTAAGCCTGTCATGGCAGCTGTATCTGGGCCTCTAAGCCTGTCATGGCAACTGTGTGGTCAAGCTGCTTTGCCACACACACACACACACACACACACACACACACACACACACACACACAAACACACACACACACACACACCCAGCTATATGATGGCATTGTTTCTAAATGCAGGTAATAAGGAAATCTAGTTAGCCAAGCCACTGAGTCACTGAACTAGCGATTGTTGCTCTGGTGTCTTCCTGTAATGTTAGTGTATCAGAGCCAAGGGGACCTTAATTAGATTGTCCCGTCCGTGTTCCAGGAGCCCACTGAGGTGAATGGTGGGTACCAAGTGCAGACCTTCAGAAACGGAGCTCTCGAATTGGTTTACTCTAGCTCCCTTTCTGTTGTTCCGCTACGACACTTTGACCAAAGCAACACGCTGGAGGCAAAGGTTTGTTTGCCTTACCCTTCAGGTCACAGCCAGCCGTGGAGGAAGTCAGGGCAGGAACCTGAAGCAGAAATCAGAAGCAATGCTGCTTGCCAGCTCACCCAAATGCTCATGCGTTGTTACCTTTCTTTTTTTTTTTTTTTTTTTGGTTTTTTTTCGAGACAGGGTTTCTCTGTGTAGCTTTGCGCCTCTCCTGGAACTCACTTGGTAGCCCAGGCTGGCCTCGAACTCACAGAGATCCGCCTGGCTCTGCCTCCCGAGTGCTGGGATTAAAGGCGCGTTGTTACCTTTCTTACACAGCCCAGGATGGCCTGCCAGGGAACGGTGCTGCTCACGGTGGGCTGGCTTCTCCTTGTCAATCAGGACAATCCTCAACAGACATGCCCACTGGCCAGTTAGAGCTGGGTAATCCCTTGAGACTCCCTTCTTAGATGATCTAGGCTGGTTCAAGTTGACATTAAGGCTAACTAGGGCAGTGTCCAGGAGAACAAAACAAAATCCTAGGCAAAAGGCAAAACCACAAAAGTGTCTGTGACTCCAGTCTGGGATTTTTAAGGGCATAGCAGTCACAGTGGAAACTCAGTCCACGCCAATCAAATCCAAGCCAAGGATGACAGTTCTGGCGGTATCACCGCCATGTTCCCCCTATACTCATGCTTCTCCTCCAGTTTCCAACACAGAGTGCACGGAAACATGGCAGGAGAGAGTTGTAATTCCAAGCACCCATGTTCTCCTCTCTCATTACAACAGCAGGATGGTGCCATCAGCAAGCCGTCACCTTAGACAGCCCCGATGATAAATGCAAGACATGTCCTGGTTAACAGCCAGCAATGACAGCTTCCTGAGAGCAGTCTGCCCTGGCCAGAGGGTTGATCCAATCCCTGACCCCACCTCTGAGCTCCCAGACTCCACCTCTGCTGACTCCAGAATGCCAAAATGCCAGCTTGCTGCTTGTCCCAACAGATGTGTTTGCCAGGAGCTGTCAAGGCCAGAGGCAGGATGCCCGTAGAGGAGGCTGGAGGAGCTGTCAAGGCCAGAGGCAGGATGCCTGTAGAAGGGGCTGGAGGAGCCGTCAAGGCCAGAGGCAGGATGCCTGTAGAGGAGGCTGAAGAGAGGTGATCTGCCACCGACCCTCTCTGCTGAGTGGTCTGAGCACTTCCTGGAGCTCATTTTCCTCTCTGTCAAATGATGGCAGAGTGGACTAGGGATGGATTTCTCTCTAGGCTTTTTCAGAAATGGTGGTAATAAACACCCTTGGGTTTGACTAAGGAAGTTGAGCGCAGAGGGAAAGGGTTTGTTTGCAAATATAGATGATTTTTATTAGATAAGGTTTGGTATAGGAAATTACAACTGTTGATGTCTATAGGCAGAGAGTTAGCCTCCTCCTTGACTCCCACAGCCAGCACCCAAACCCTTCCAGCTCCTGTCAGTATTCTCTATAGTAAAGGATCTAGAAGTATAATTCTAAAAGTGACTCCTTTAGTTTGATGGCTCTGATCATTGGTGAGACAGAAGAGTAACATTTCTGAGTCTCCTTTGCTTCTAAAATATCTAAATTCAGATCCTACAGCCTGATTTATAAGTGTACCTGAAGGAAAATTCCAATAATTGGGAGAAATGACATTGTTTGGCTAACATAAAAATTGCAAATGATTAATGAAATAGTAGGTTTTGGGAAATTGTCTTTCTGTTCTTAGACTGTGGCATGACATTCACATGACCTGTGTAAGAAAAGGGGAGTATTACAAACTATTCTCCATGACAACTGAAATTTGTCTATTGGGGTCAAACCAATAACTAATAACTGGCACCTTTAAAATCTTCGTTTATTGACTAAAGAATTATGCAAAATCGAACAGGGGTGTGCTGCAAATGCCTTTAATCCAAACACTCTGGAGGCAGAAGCAGGTAGATCTCTGTGAATTTGAGGCCAGCCTGGTCTACATAGCAAGTTTCAGGCCATTCGGGGCTAATGAGACCCCCCCACACACACACACACACAAAACTTCCAGTTAATCTACTTTTCTGTTGGGAATTTTAGAGAATTAAAGCCAAATTAATTATAAGACTAACTACAGAAGAACTTGTAAAGTATCAGAGCACATCTGATACCTCAGATACTCGTAAGCACAGGTAAGTGACACCCCCACCCTGCGGCTCAAGCCTGCCTGTAGGGAAGGCAAGACACCAAGAGCTATATGCTGGCTGGCCTGTTCAGAGGAGTTAATACCTCTATACAAGAGTCATGGTCTGACAAATGGGTGGGGATTTATCACATGCTAGGCAGGTACTCTGTCACTGAGTTGTACCCCAGCCCAGGCTGGTTGTGCATGGGTGAAAGCCTCTGAGCATGCCTTCTCCTCTACCCAATAACATGCCGGGGGTCACTGTATGACTGAGTTGTGTGTGTGTGTGTGTGTGTGTCTTTGGAGACAAGGTCTCAGGTAGCCCAGGTTGGCTTCAAACTTGCTATGCAGCTCAGGATGACCTCGAACACCTGATTCTCCTGCCTCTACCTCCCAGGCGCAGGGAGTACAACAGTGCATCATCATGCGTCTAGCACAGCTGTGGCCCATGGTGAATGCTCAGGAAATGTGAATGTCACTATTTTCACTAGGTGGAAATGGAGGCAGGAGTGCTGTCCACACTGAGGGGAGAGTGCAGCAGCTAGGAAGTTCACGGCAACCTGCAGACAGCTGGCCACAGGCAGAGCCTGCCTTGACCACTCCCCCAGCTGCAATCTTGTACAAATTAACCTTCTCCCATTTTCTTCTTTAAAAATATGTTTATTGGGCCGGGGGTTGGTGGCGCACGCCTTTAATCCCAGCACTCGGGAGGCAGAGCCAGGCGGATCTCTGTGAGTTCGAGGCCAACCTGGTCTATAGAGTGAGATCCAGGACACACACCAAAACTACACAGAGAAACCCTGTCTCAGAAAAAAAAAATTTATTGCATTTATTTAGTATGTGTGGGTGTGCCGTAGTACATGCATGGACATTGGAGAACTTACAGGAATCGGTTCTCTCCTTCCACCATGTGGGTCAGATCCTGATTGGACTCAGGTCTTCAGGCTTGGAAGCAAGCACCTTTACCCACTGAGACCTTGCTGACATTTTCCTTGGAGCTGCTGTGCTTGATAATGCTGGGTTCCCAGAAAATGCTAGTTATCAGGTGTTAGTAGTGGCAGATATGCAAGCAGTGGGAAGAGCCACGGAACAGGCAACTGGGCATAAATGTCCAGATCCAGGGCGAACAGTCAAGGCTGGGATAGCTCAGTGAGTTGCTGGCAGAAGTTACTTAAGCTCTCTAAGGAAATGGACCAGGAGCTGAAAGTAGAAGCTGGCCCATAAAAACAACCAAATATATATATAAAATTTTATTAACCTTTCAACTTTTCCTAGAAGGTTCAAGTTAAAAAAAACTTCAGGACAAAATTTGAGTAAAAACAGTTTGGGAACTGTGTACACCTTTAGTCTTAGTGATCAGGATAAGGCAGGTGGATCTCTATGAGTTCGAGCCCAGTCTGGTCTGCATAGTGAGTTCCAGGACAGCCAGGGCTACATAGAAAGACTCTGTCTCAAAAAAACACAGACCACTTTAGAAAAGCATGTTCCACTTCAAAGGAAGGGACCTCAGAAAAGAAGGACAAGGGCTGTGGAAAACCATATTTGGTTTTGGGTGGTAGCTTAGCAGGCAGTGACACATGGGAAGGGACCAGTGGAATGGGACATGGCGAGTGTGGGCAACAAGGGCTTCTTGACCTTCGGGGGTAGCAGGCTGGAGAAAGGGAGGGAATGAGACGGGTTGATGCTGTAAGGTGACGTGGCCTCAGGTTTCTCCTTTGGTTCAGGGAGAGGTCTTTGAGGGCCTATGGGGGCACGGAACTGCTCTTCTAGTGACAGATGATGTCTCGCTAGATTGGTGGCAAGGGGTGAGACAGGAAATGGAAGAATATACCTACCACTGAGTCCCATCCAGGGAAAGATGAGTTAAGGAAAGAGGTACTCATGGCCTTGGGTGGAGGGGGAAGCCATGTGAGGTGACTAGAGAAAAGAGGGGTATCTCTGGGACTGGCCCAATGCGGGGGTTCTACAGATGCTGAAGGCAGGGAGCCAGGGAGTCAGTGAAACTCAAAGTCCCGTTTTGGAACTTGGTGCTGGGCCAAGTTTAAACATTAGGAAAGAGTAGATCAGATTCCTGTATATAAAAAAAAAAACCCCTCATCTTCCCTTCCCTACAAGGCTTATAGGCAGGCGATGTGATGAGTCTTTGGTGTTTAGCGAACCTTCTGGCTTTAAAAGCCTCCAGCCCTAAGGCACTTAGGCAGAGGTTGCTGGAGCCGGTTCCTCTTGCGGTGCGGTGCGGTCCATCCCGTGCACCCGATCCAGGGCGCCTGGAGCGGCCTCGCTACAGCAGGACCTTGGTGATCACGTCGTCGCCGCCGCCGAGGACGTCCCCGTCAGGGTCCTCCTTGAGGAGCGGAGGCGGCGGCGAAGGCGGCGCCGGGACCCCAGCCCCGGGGCTCCGCTCCCGCAGCCAGGCGCCCAGCGCCTCGCGCTCGGCCTGCAGCTGGCGCCGCGCCTGCGCCACGGCCCGCTCCTCCTGCCGCAGAGCCCTGCGCCTGCGCTCCAGCGCGCGCTCCGCCTGCCGGAGGGCCGCCTCGCGCCGCGCCAGCTCCAGCTCGCGCCGGCTGCCGCGCACCGCCAGCTCGCCCATCTGCTCCAGCAGGCGCGCCCAGTCGCCCTCGGCAGCCGCGGCGGCGGCGGCGGCGGGGCCGGGCGGCGCAGGGCAGGGCGCGGCGGGCGGCGAGCTCCGGGCCCCGCTCTTCTCCAGCTCCCGCAGGTGCGCGCCGCTCAGGTGGCGCCACAGCGCCCGCGTCCACGCCTGGAAGCCCGGCTGGCCGCCCACCCGCTCCCCGCACAGCCGGCAGGTGGCCCAGGTGCCTGTTGTCGTCGCCGTCGTCGTCGGGTGCCCGGGCCGAGCCGGGGCCAGATGGAAGTAGCCCCAGGCCTCGGTGTAGGGCGTCCCCAGGTGGCCCGGAGCGGCGGGTGCCAGCCCGGGACAGGGGCCGCCCTGGCCTGTGCTGTCACCAGGCCTCCAGCTGTCTTCCATGGTCTCCAGGGGCTCTTCACTCCTCATTCCTTCTGCAGTGTCTGCATCCAGGGGGGAAGAGGAAGAAGAACAGTAACCCACTGACCAATGACCTTTCCATGAGGAAGACACCTCACCCACACAACACACTCCCCCCACCCCCAAAGCCTTAAAAAGGTGGCATCTGCTCTTTAATGAACAAGTTGGAATGGACCAACTGTATGGATCTAGACAAACTTTCTCTGAAAGTTAAAAAAGAAAATAATACTTAGACCCTGAGCTCTTCTGAGGACTTATCTCAGGAAGGATCATAGCCAAGGGAGAATCAGGCTTAGTGAACTAGCCAGTGACTGCTCATACTACCAGGCCCTCAGGGACCAGCAGCAGAGATCGTAAAATCACAGAATCTATTAAATCAATAAAAAGATCAGGAAAAATATAACATCTGTATATGTACATGCTGCATATATATACACACATACTTACACATATATGTATATACATACACATATACAGTGTATATACTTGGGTTCCCTATTTTACAAAACAAATAATGGGCATAAAAGGCCAGGAATGGCCGGGCGGTGGTGGCGCACGCCTTTAATCCCAGCACTTGGGAGGCAGAGCCAGGCGGATCTCTGTGAGTTCGAGGCCAGCCTGGGCTACCAAGTGAGTTCCAGGACAGGCGCAAAACTAAACAGAGAAACCCTGTCTCGAAAAACCAAAAAAAAAAAAAAAGGCCAGGAATGTCCTGACATAATAATAGTTGGTGCTTTCAATACCCAATGCCATCTCCAGACAGATCATCCAAACTAAAGATAAAAGAAATTTCAGAGTTAAACTATACTGTAAATTATAGATATATGCAGAATATCCACCCAAAAGACATGGGCTGTAAGTTCTTTTCAGTGGCCTACGGAACCTTCTCTAAAACAGGACTCCTTGTAGTTTTCAAAGAAAGTCTTAATAAATACAAAGGCATCAACAAATCATAGTGCAGTAGAACAAGAAGTCAAAAGCAATCTCTTTTGACTGTCCATACATTTAGAAGTAGACCACACTTTTTTTTTTTTAAATGAACAGTGGATCTTGAAAAACCCAGGAAATTTCAAGCGACTATGAAAGCAGAACCTCTGGGGCACAGCCAAGGCAGCTCCAAGAGGACAACTTATAGCTCTGCATGCTTACGTTAAAAATCTAGGCAGGTTGCAATAAACAGGCTAATGATGGACCCCGGGGCCTTACAGAAGGAACAAGTTAAACACCAAAGGAGTAGAAGGCAGGAAATTATTAAGGACAGAAATTAATGAAATGTAAACTAAATGAATAATAGATAAAAAAATCAATCAAAAGGTCAGTTCTTTGAAAACAACAATCTCAGAATGACAACCCTCCAGCCAATATAACCAAAATAATGAGAGACTATCCCAGTGTGTAAAACTAGAGATGGACTGAAGGAGGGTACACCAGATCCTAATGAACTCAGAGATTAACACGTATTTTTGAAGATGTTTTCCAAAGTACTGTAAAATTCAGAAGGATTAGGTAAATTCCTGACTACATATAACCTACCAAAATTAAAATCTAGAGGATATGAACAATTTAAACAGCTTAGTAACAGGCAATGGCATTGAAGTCTCCCAACAAAGAAAGGTGAGGTCACTGCTGAATTCTATCAAACATTTAAAAGAAGAAGCTAATACAAATTTGTCTCAAAACTGTTAACATAAAATGGAAACATTACTAAACTCTTTACAAAGCGAGCATTCCTCAATGCCAAGTCCAGATATGGACTCAACAAAGAAAACTACAGACCAATATCTCTGATCGCAATAGGTGCTGAAGTATGATCTTTCTTTCATTTCTTCAAGGCTTTCCTGCACTTATTGAGATGATCATATGGGTCTTTTTTTCCCTTAAGCCTATTTTATGTATGCTCTTATATCTATCATCGAGAAAACCATCACCAACAAGTGATGGCCAAGACATGGGAAAAGGGAACCCTTCTCTAAGGCTGGTGGGAATGGAAATTAGTGTAGTTATTATGCTCATCAATGTGTGTGGGGTGTTCCTTAGAAAATTAATGCCATAATACTGTTATTATCTATCTGTACCATATGTGGTGTATCTATGCCTGAACAATTCAAAGTCAACATACCACAGAAATATTTGAACATCCATGTTTATTGCTGAACTATTCATAATAGTCAAGATGTGGAACCAGGGGCTGAAGAGATGAATTAGCAATGAAGGGCACACATTGCCCTCTCAGAGAACTCAAGTTCAGTTCCCAGCACCATGTTGGGTGACAACTTATAACTCCAGGTCCAGGGGTACTTATGTGCATACACCCCCAAATACACATAATTAAAAATAAAAAGTACTTTTAAGAAAGATATTGAACCAGCTTAGATGTCTGTCAACAGATGAATAAAGGTGTGGTATATAAAGAAAAGTGAAATTACGACATTCACAGGGAAATGGATGGAACTGGAGAGCTGTATGTGAAGTCAATAAGCCAGACTCAGAAAGACAAATGCCATGTTTTCCCTCAGATACAGAATATAGATGTAAGTTTATTTATAAACGTTAGGTATCTGTGTAGGACATGGATGTAGAAAGTAGAGAAAGGAATCTATAGGGCTGGGGAGGGGACAAGAGAGGACAACAGAATCCATAGGTCATAGGAGCAGAAGGTAGAACCATTTAGGGGAGAAAGAAGACCAGTAAGATGGGCGAGGCGGGCAAGAGTAAGAACAAAGTGTGGAGATATAGCTATGCATGAAAGGGTCGCAGTGAAACCCAGTTCTCTGCATGCTGACCAAATATTAATCTAAAAAGTAAATTAAACATGTTAATATTAGAAACAGTTTAATCATCTAGCTTTATCTAGATTTTTCTATGTATCCTATCTTTCGTTGTTAAGAACTCCATTTCCTTCTACCTTGAATCTATCCTTTCCAGGAATCCTTTTAATTACTAGATATAAACAGAAGACGGGATACTATTATAGTGAATCTAATTTATTTCATAAATGTAAAATGATTTGACTACTGCTCTGCCATTTTGACAGGCATGTGAGCCTGCAGATTTTTTTCACCTGTGCCAAGGGCTCAGAGTCCCCATTGCTTATGCACCTCTGACAGTGCCAAGGGTGACTCATGACTGCCAAGCTTTTGGCATCCCTGTGAACTGTGAGCTGGGTTGCCTGTAAATTCTGAGATACGCAGAGGAGCATCTGCCACATGTGCTGTCTGCGCTGGAAGAGTTAATGTGGGCACAGCAGGAGAGCGCTGGTTTTATGTCCCTCACCTGAGCCAGGGACAAGCAACACTATGAGATGTGGGCCAGCACAGTGCTGCCCCTCCAAGGTGCTGGAGAGGGACATCCTTTGCCTGGTCAGCCCTTTACTGTTGGAGGTCTTAACCAGTGGAAGGCAGCATGGTATGGAACTGCCCCACCTTCTCAGTCCTCCATAGTGGGCTGCATTCTGGCTCCATGTGATGGGACTTTATATCTAGGGTGGTACCCCAGTCCTAACATCTGTCCAGCCCTGGAATATAGCCCAAGTTCATTTCAGCTTCACCCGGAGCACAGCAGAAAGCCCAGGCTCATCCATCTAGCACTGGAACTCCCAATACACCAGGAGTTCTTACAGGGGGACTTTAAAAGGCAAATGATCCAATATAAAACCAGGCAAGAAACATGAGCAGTCAAATGACTTCAGGGCCAATTCAAATGTCTGTGGAAAGGTAGCTCTGTTCAGGGACGTACTGTGAGGGCAAGAGCAAAGTGTCATCCTAACATCCAAAGACAGGCAGGTGTAACTATCGAAGTCAGGAAGGAGGCAGAAAAATAGGGCACGTTCACTTTCCTGCTGAAGGTTGGAGCGCTTTGAGGAAGGCCACCTGGAAGTTTCTACACTAGTTAAAAATAGATGTGGTATCCATTCAGTAGAACGAAAGTTATATATGGTAGACTATTTCATCATTATTTAGAATGGGAATTATAGCTGAGTATATAATGCCCGTTTACAACAGAGAATATTATTCAGTCATTCAAAGGGTGGGGAATCTGCCAGGTGTTCTAGGGGAAGTTTTGGGGGTGGGGAAGGAAAGCTAGATGTTGTAAAGGGTATACAAAATCCCATCATTTCTAGATAATACCAGATCACTATAGTAGTGTAAAGATACAGGTGTTCCTCAATTCATGATGCAGTTACAGCCTTGAACTCATTATCTGTGGAAAACACTTTGAAGAGAAACTGCATTGAATAGAGTTAGTCTACCAAGCACCATGACTGAGCACCACGGGGCACTACAGAGCATCAGCTGTTTCTTCTCATGACTGCCAGGCTCTGAAGAGCTGCAGCTGGACACTCCTGCCCAGCTGCCCCTGCCGTGTGCTGTGTGCTACTAGCCAGGAAAGATCAAGTGTCAAAATAAAAACTCTGGCTTCTATGGAACGTCTACCTCTTGCACACCACCATCACATCCAAAACTAGATGGAGCCATCTCCACAGATTTAGGTTAGGAAAATAAGGGAGGAGACACTACAGATTGAGGTGGAAGGTGATGGGAAAGTAGGAACCACAAAAGCCAAAGAAAAAGCCTCTAAGAAAGCCATATGGTCAATATGCCTATGCCTTACCACAAAGTATATATACAGCAGGGTCTATATGTAAATAAAAAGTGACTTTTAATAAACAATCCTCGGCATATCAGCTATGAGATCAGATAGGGACAGACTTAAGGAGGCTGAAGGCGACAGTCCCAAGGGTAAAACCCCTGCTGAGGCACTTGGAAGATCCATATGCACAGGGAGTTGCCACGAGAGGAAGGAAGTGAATGTATAGGGTCAACCAGTACAGCATGGTTACCCTGCGCCTTGCACAAGCAGGAGACCGGAAGCAGAGGATGTGATGAGGGAGGAAGGGGCTCAACCTGTGTACCTCCTTGACACAGAGCAGACACGTAGCTGCACCCGCTGCAGGTGCCTCTCCCAGGATGAAGATTACATGCTTCTAAAGGGTTGCTGGAGTCGGGGATGCCCGACTCCCAGCACCATGCAAATTTAAGGCATGAACTACAGAGGAGAGACTGGTATTTCCTGCTCAGCTGCCCCTACACTGAGATTTCAGTGGCTGAAAAACAGTGTTGCATTTCTGGTGGGCATTCAAAATGGGAAGAATCCCTAAGGATTCATAATGCCAAAGGGGAACCAGAGAGGGTAAGAGACCCATGACCACTGCTCCTCAGATTTGTTTTCACTTCCTAAATGGACCTTCACACAACAAATAGCCTGCTCATCACTCAGGTCCGGGAGACTCTGGGAAAGTGGGCTAGCCCCAGCTGGGTGATGTCTATTCTCCTTTATCGAGCCCCAAATCACAATGTATAACCATTAACTATGTGTGCAGCTAACAGAAAGAAAAGAAAAAACATGAGCACCCTTCATTCTTTTCCTTGAGCATTTTTAAAAGACAGGCACAAAGTGGCCAAGAGATGCGATTATTTTGCTTATGTCCACTTACTCCATCCCGCTCTCTCGTCCAAATGTTCACTATGCATCTGCTCAGAGTTCCACAGGAGCCTGCTGCCGACCAGCTCAGAAGAGCAGCACAGACTCTGCCTTCTGGTAACTCACTCACCACCTGGGAGGGGGTGAAGAGATGTTTCCAGTGCTAATTCCGATATCCTTGGTTAAGGTTAGATCAGGGTTTGGCTCCAAATGAGTTCTACTTTGTTAGTCTATAACTCGGCGTCTGAGTCACTGTTTTAACATGAAACACAGTCAAGCTACACCAAAGTACTGCTGGGGTAAATGCAACTTAGCCACAGCAACTTAGCAATGGAACTTTTGCATCCAATTTCAAGGGTGACAAGGCCAATGTGAAGTCTTTCATGGCAAGAAGGGAGCATTGGGAGCTTTGCCTCTAATTCTCCAGTGGCTGAGCTTCACTAGGGGATCTGTTCTCTGGAAGGAGGACAGGTAAGCTTACATCTGTGGGAGATAACAGATTCCCATTCATTATTCCTGCATTGGAGTCTCTCCTGAGAAATTCTATTCTTTTAGTAACCTATCAGGTTAAATCCAGAGTCCTCAGTATGACCTCCCCAAGTACCAACCCAGAAGCTGAAGGAAGCCACTAAAACACGCTGAGGTGGCTCAGCACGTAAGGCACCTGCCACCAAGCCTGATGACCTGAGTTTGAGCACTGGGACTCACTTGGTATAAGGAGAGAACCAACTCCCACAAATTATCCTTAGACCTCTACCCACATGGGCACCCACACACATACACAAAAACAAATGCAAAACTTTTAGAAAGCTATTAGCATGGTCTTCTTATACACTATACATATGACCATATACATGTATACTTGTATGACTATAAAATTTGTCATAAGACAAGCCGACATTTCCCCTATTACCATAGAAGCACAATCTCTATTAATTCTTTTGTTGGCAGTGGTTCTTTTGTTTTCTTTCTGTGCTGTTGGAGACTGAACCCAGTATTCACACACACTAGGCAAATGCTCTGGCACTGAGTTACAGCCCCTATAAATGGACTTAATAAGGAAAAAAAAAACTATATTAGGTCTCAAACTCAGGACAAAGAGCTAACTGAGGTGCCTATTTAACATATCAAAGGGGAGGATGGCCTTGTGGCATCTCTCTCAACAGCACAATACCTGTTACACTTCTCAGTTTGTCCCGACCTTAAACCCTCCAGCTCAAGGGAAGCTGGGCTTCCCTCCCTCCAGTCTCTGATCCCTATATAACCTCAGCCATTTTGGCTACCCAGGCTCTTGGTGTCTTGCCCTCCTGGCTCTCTTCTGGCCTCTCAGCCTCTTTTCTCCTCCCCTCTTCCTCTCTCATTCCCCCTACCCCTCACGAACCGGTTCAGTCTGGACCCTTCCAGATGCCTCTGGCTGTGTTCTCCCTCATCGCTACAATAAACCTCCTCACCCCGTACCTAGGAGCATCTCCCCGATCTTTTCCACCATTCGCTGCAAAGCCCCCTGCTTGGAAGTACGCCTTTATTTCAGAACCACCTTGCTTTGTGTAATTCATACGGGCCGTTCTACAAACGACCCACGAAAATTGATTTCACTAGTGTATGCTTATGCTTGCACACCTTAGAAGAACTGGGTAGGCTAGAGGCCAAAGAACCAGGAAATGTTTTCCAAAGGAAATGGCAAGTGAGGAGGTTCAGTCCTCTTTGTCCTGCAGTCAAGGCTAATCACCTCAGTTTGCCGGGCGGAGTAATAAACATGTGCTGATTGAGCCTGGATCTACCATGAGAAGCGGACACGATTATGAAATCCACAGATGTGGAAACACTACGGCACTTTCGTCTCCTTCATCCAACAGTGCTTTAAATCGGAGCAGAACACAACAATTGAACAATTAGCCACAACAGCTGACGTGTCAAGGAAACTACAATCCATTCACCTGTGATCTGTCCATCTCCTCGAACCTATTCGTTTCCTGCCATGTGTTCATATATTTATATATAGACCCAGACAACTAGAAAAATTAGTCTGTAATCATCAGCCAGAAGGCACACATGAAATTAAAAGCCAGTAAAGGGGCTGGAGAGTGGATGGCTCAGTGGTTAAGAGCACTTGCTGCTCTTCCAGAGGACCAGCATTCCATTCCCAGCATCCAGGTCCCAATAGCCTGTAACCCAGCTCTATCTGACAATCTGTTTCCACAGGCATCCCTCATGTGTACACACGTACACACACACACACATGCACGCACACACACACACGGGGTCGGGGCATACACATAAAAATAAATCCTTTTTTGAAGTTGGTAAAAATGACTGCAAAGTGTAAAATGTATTGTGAAATAACGGGTTAGTGTGAAAATATTAGAAGAAGGTTATATATGGGCTATAAAACAAACAAAACAAGACACACACTGGACCCGTAGCTAATGATGTTACCTTAATGTTTTAAGCTGAACTCTCAGCTATTTCTACTATTAGCTAAAGGCCAGCAAAGCACTCTGTTAATGCATTTTAAAATGAAAAGTATAAAGCATTATGCCCTAAAGTGGATCTTTATTGCATCTGGGCATTAGTTTATTTTATATATACATATACAATATGTATATGTGTGTATATATATATATTCATTCCCTTGGGAAAAGGTGGTGATCCAGTTTATCTTGAAGACACCCATTTCTAAGGAATCATAAGGATTTAAAAATGCTCTGCTGCTAGATGGTGGTGGCACACGCCTTTATTCCCAGCACTCGGGAGGCAGAGGCAGGCCGATCTCTGAGTTGGAGGCCAGCCTGGTCTACAGAGTCAGTTCCATGACAGGCTCCAAAGCTACACAGAGAAACCCTGCCTTGAAAAAAAAAAAATTAACGAAGTGAAACAAAATAAAAATGCTCCACTTTGAAGACCTTTGTAACTTAAAGGATTTTTAAGTTGAGAATTACCTGGACTCTTGGTATTTTTACACAATTTCCTATACTTTTTGTCACTTGCCTCGAACTATTTTGGAGGCCAAAAGGTGTACTAATACAGTGCAGGAAATCGCCAGGAGTGGTGGCCCATGTTTAAAATCCCAGCACTTGGCAGGCAGAGGCAAGTGGTCTCCCTGAGACCTAGTCTATACAGGCGAGTTCCAGGTCACCCAGGGATATACAGTGAGACCCTGTCTTAAAAAAAAAAAAAAATCAGGAATAACACTAATTATTTCAATTTATGAAACTAATCCTTTAACAGCTGTCCTAAACCCCGGATCTCAGCGATGGCAAGAACTTATTTCTCCCAATGAGGAAAACCCCAGCCTGTTTAGTAAAGCTTTGGGAAGGGTCACGGACGGCTTACACAGCCACCAGCTCCAGCGTGCTGGGAAGGATCCGGGAACTCTTTTGTTTGTGTCTAGTGGAGGAGGGGGATACTGGCTCACACCGGTTTTCTTCCCGGCACAAGTCGGAAACACGAACTAAGTCACAATTCGTGCAAGAGGCCCCTGCAGGGCGCACAGCTACCGGCGGGGCTCAGAGTCAATCTTCAGGGCAACTTTACCGGGATGGTTTTTCCTTCTTCCCCGGGAAACTGGGAAGCCCAGAGGCCTCTCCGCAAAGCCAGGGATGGCAGGCACCCCCGGCAGAACTCGCGGCTCCCGCCCGGGAGCAGCACGCCCAGGGGTCTCCCGAAGTCCCCGAGGTCCCCGCCCCGCACCCCACTCACTGCGCTCAGGCCGCGGGCGTCCCTCCCCTCCCGCCACGCCTCCACCCGCGGTCTCCCCGGTCCCCGCCCCCAAGGCCCCCGCGGACCCCCCAAAAAACCGCAGCTCCCGGGTGTCCACGCAGCCCCGCGATGTCCTCCCGGCTCCGCGCCGCGGGCGTCCCTCCCCTCCCGCCCCGGCCCCGGCCCCGGCCCCGGCCCCGCCGCGCGCCGCACTGCCCCAGCCAAGCTCACCCGGACGTCGCGATGCTCGCCCCTCGCCTCCCGGCTCCTCGCAGACATTTTGTCCGGGACGGAAAGTGCCACTGCCCCCTTAAAGACACAGCACTCAATTCGAGCATCTGGGGGCGTCCGGGGATGGGGGTGGGGGGGGAGCGATGACGCGTGGTCTGGACGCCCGAGAGCGCCGGGGAGCCCCTCTTAAAACCATCCGGTCGATGAGGGGGTTTAGAGCAGCGGGTGGAGAACTAGTTTAATGAAGTGAAATTTTGTCCGGGGTTTTAAAATGATGCAAGAGCACAGTGATGCTGAACATGTTAACTGCGGTTCTGCACGTTTGCACGTTTAACCTTCCAAGACCTGGATTCAGCTGGTCCAGGTCCTCCGCGGCGGCGCGGTGCTCGCGATCTTTCATCAGTTTAAGATCTCTGATGGGGCACAACTCAGAAATCCTTGCAATCAAGGTCTGAAGAGGAAAAGGTGTTCACCAAAACATCAGCCTGGGTTACTACTTTTGTCTTGATTATATTCAGTAACAGCGTCTACGTGATTTACAACAATTACATCAGCTGCGAGCAGCTTCGTTCTAAGGCTGTTTTCTGTATTCCACGCTCTGGGTGGAAAGATAAACTTTTTCAGGACTTGCTCGCTGCAGTGCGGGTGAGCGTCCTGGGGCTTTGCAGGTTGAGGGGGAAGTCCTGTTGTATGGTGTTTGCTGTTTCAGCCAAGTAAATAATTCCACCAGGTAGATTTTAATCTACAAATAGTCGTAAAGAAATGACTTTGCCAAGTTCCTGGATGCACCAGTTAGCTCTTGTGAAATGGCACATTCTGCTCTTTATTTATTTAAAAATTGCCCTTTTTTTTTGTTTGTTTGTTTGTTTTTTTAAATTACTGGTGTATTAGGGCAGCGCAGAGTGGTGGATCTGTGCATGCATGAGTGCAATGCCAGTGGTGTCCAGAAGAGGGCGATGGATCTCCTGTAACTGACTGGAGTTACAGGCCATTGCTAATCACCCAATGTGGCCTAGGAATCCAACTTGAATTCTCTGGAGGAGTGGTACCTGCTTTTACCCTCTGAGCTATCTCTTCAGTCCAAAGCCTTGCTAGCCGGGAGACAATGAGCAAACAGACATAAAAATAAAAGAAATAAGAAATTACTGAGTAAATAATACAATCCATGTTAATTGCTTGGGTTCAGTAATTTAGAAATGGAATTGCTGGGGATGAACCCTTGGCCTTGCTCATACTGAGTGCTTGCTCGGCCATGGAACTATTACTATAACCCTCCTCATTTTTTTTTTAACCTGATAGGTAAACTATGGAAAATCTATTTGTTGAATTTTCTTTTTACTATGCCAAGAATGATTTCAGAAGAAAGAAAAGTCTGGTTGGATATCTCTAAAGGAATAATTTTGCAATGGAGATGTTAACTATTAGATCCCTTACTACCTTTTAAATTGTATTTAAAACTGTTTTCTTACACTCTATTTTTATCATAGTCTTTTTTTTAACCCACCAAATCAATAAAAAAGCACATAAAAACTTGGTATATTATACTTATAGAATGAATATATATATATATTATGAGAATGACTTACAGGCTGTGGCCCAGATAATCCAGCAATGGCTGCCTATGAATAGAAAGTCCAAGAATCCAGTAGCTGTTCAGTCCATGAGGCTGGATGTCTCAGCTGGTCTTCAGTAGACACTGGAATCTCAAAAAAGTATGCTCTAATGCCAGTGAAGGAATGGACTTGCTAGCAAGGAGAGAGTAAGCAGGCAAAGAGCAAAAGCTTCCTTCTTCCATGCTTTGTATAGGTATGGACCAGATTAGAGGTAGGTTTTTCCACCTGAAAAAAAAAAAATCGGGATTACAGGTGTATTGTTGCAGAATATTTGTTTAACTGTGCAAAGATGTGTTGCATTTGTTTAACTATGTAAAGATGTGTTGCATTTATGTTGTGGAATATTTGTTTAACTATGTACAGATGTGTTGCATTTGTTTAATTATGTAAAGATGTGTTGCTGTTTTACCTTGCCTGCCTAAGGCACCTGATTGGTCTAATAAAACGCTGAACAGCCCGTAGCAAGGGAGAAGGTATAGGTGGAACTTCTGGGCAGGGAGAGTAAGTAGGAGGAATTTAGGCTTGGAGAAGAAAGAAAAAGAGATGCCAGGGAGACACCATGGGCCAGCCAGCCAGATATGAAGGAAGCAGGAAAGTAGGACATACAGAATGAAAGGTGAAAAGCCCCAAGGCAAAGTGTAGATGAATAGAAACCGGTTAAATCAAGTTAAAAGAGTTAGTGGGACAAGCCTTGGCTAAGACCGAGCATTTCATAGTTAATAATAAGTCTCTATGTCTTTATTTGGGAGCTGGTTGATGACCCAAAGAAAATTGCAACTACAGTGTATCTTCTTACCTCAAAAATCCTGACTAGAAGTGGATCTTCTCACTTCAAATTAAGCAAAACTCCCTCACAGGTATGCCCTCCATTTTTGGGTTTTAGTTAATTCCAGATGTAGTCAGGTTGATAACCAAGAATAGCCACCACACATGGAGATGGTTTTGTGTTGGCTAATTACTCTGAGCACGAGGCCTGCCCTGGTGTGTGATTGATGTACAGTATCACTCTGTTGGAAAACAAATGTTCCCCCCTCTCTCAGCGGGAGTGGGACTTCGTGCGGACTTCTTCCCTGCACTGGGATGTTGTCGGGCTGGTCCTTTTGCAGGCTTTACACCCTGTCACGGTCTCTGTGTGTTATTGTGTGTATCAGCCTTACTATGTCTGAAGGATACTGTTTCCGTGGAGTCATCCACACCTTTGGTCTTACAGTCTTTCCACCTCCTCTCCTATGCAGATCCCTGAGCCTTGAGTGGAGAGCTGTGACAGAGACATCCTGTTTAGGACTGAGTGTTCCAAAGTCTCTCTCTTTCTCTGTCTCTGTCTCTCTGTCTCTATCTCTCTGTCTCTGTGTCTCTGTCTCTGTCTCTCTCTCTCTCTCTCTCTCTCTCTCTCTCTCTCTCTCTCTCTCCATACTGTCCAGCTATGGGTCTCTGTGTTAATTCCCATCTACTGCAAGAAGCTCCTCTGATGAAGGTTGAGTGCTGCCCTGATTCCATCTGTGGGTGCAGCAATGTGTCACTAGGAGTTGCTTATTGCTGTGTTAGTTAGTAGTAGGTTTTGCCTCAGGGGCCATAACTTACCTAGTTTCAGGCTCTTAGCCTCATTGACAGTGCCGGGTATGGCTTCTATCTCATGGAGTGAGCCTGCCTACCAATTTTTTTTTTTCATTTTTCAAGACAGGGTTTAATTTTGGAGCCTGTCCTGGAACTTGCTTTGTAGACCAGGCTGGCCTTGAACTCACAGAGATCCGCCTGCCTCTGCCTCCTGAGTGCTGGGATTAAAGGCGTGCGCCACCACTGCCCAGCCCTGCCTACCACTTTTTATCAAAAGGACACTTAGAGTTACAGATAGCCGAAGAAAAGTATCTAGTATGAGTGAGCTCAATTAAAACTGTCTCTTAATTGATGTTTCCTATATTAACGAACTTGTCACACTTGGTATGTTTTTTAGTAAGAGGCCTCATTTATTTGCTTGTTTTCAGTGGTGGCGACAGAAGCCATGGCTTCTCAGATGCAAGTGCTCCATCCTGGAGCCACATCCCCAGCCCAAGGTGTCACTCTTTGAGTGCCAGAGAATCCATTTGGCAGCTCAGGTTGGTGGCACACTGTAACTGAGGCCTAGGCAGAAGGAGTCCAAGTTGTAGGCCAGCCTGGACAATTTAGCCAGACTCTGTCTCAAAACTGAGAAGAAGGCGGCTGGGACTATAGGCCAATAGTCGCGGGTACAGGGTCCAGTCATCTGGCTTCAAACCGACCATGTCATGAAGTATATGATATTTTTGTTAGTTTACAGAATAGTGTATTCTCCTTTTTTTTTTTAGATTTTAAAATTATATTATTTATTTATTTGTGTGTGTGTGTGTGTGTGTGTGTGTGTGTGTGTGTGTGTGTGTGTGTTGAGGTCAGAGGACAACTTTCCAAAGGTGATTCCCTCTTTCTGCTATGTAGGTTTCGGAAATTGAACTCAAGTCATAGAGTTTGGTGGTGGCACCTGGATCCTGCTAAGCCTACTTCATTGGCCACCCCATCCCCCTTCTTTTACAATTGGTCTTATTATAAACCCAGGTTGGTCTGGAGCTGGCGACTGGTCCTTTGGTCTCCTCTTCCAGAATACTGGGCTTACCGTTGCATACACCACACCTGGTGGATCTTTTTCATGATGCTTCCAGATGGAGTCTTGACCAAGTACCAGATCAGTCGGCCAGCTTTAGAATCCCTATTAGCTGGGATTGTAAACCTACAACGTGGCATCCACCAAACAAGCAGAAACTGGGAACTGGGAGTAAGCCCAGAGTTTCATAAGAGCTGCCTTCAAGATTTCAGTTGAGGGTGATGCAACTCCAGGAGAGTGACAATGACATAAGAGCGATGATGACGTCAGAGGAAAGTAGTCCAGCCCCATAATGAATTGAGGACATCCAAAGACATTTGAAAGTGATGACATTTCAAGACCTGAAGATTTCGGCACTTAGTCTCTGGGCATTATGATTTGTTATGCTAGCTAGATGTGTTTGGTCTTTTTTTTTAAACACCAGAGGAAAATGAGTCTGTCTTTCCTATGTTTGATATCAGTGCTGTGGGATGGTCTGTATGTCAAATGTGTTGCTGATTGGTCAATGAATAAATCACTGAT